GATTATGATTGGATGTGTTTTTTTTTTTTTGGTTTATCAAAATGATAAATTCTCAGTAAATTAAAACCCCAAGTTTTATTAGATAAAGAGAAAACAAACACCTCTCAGGGATGAACTTCTCCGGCTCAGGCCAGTACTCTGAGTCATAATGAAGGAAGCCTGCAGGGATCTCCAGAGACATCCCTTTAGGCAAAAACTGTCCGTTCAGCACACAGTCGTGGGCAACTTCTCGGCCAAATCTTCATTARACAAAACAGCAAAAACAAGATTAGTCCTTYGGGTTTGATAAAACCTACCTAATTTACATTCTTCTCTATAAGTGATGAGAGTAAAAAAAGCTGTGAATCTACTGAATCATGTCCGTTTAGCCTCACGGAGCATACCTGAAACCAGGTGGATAGAGCCGCAGTGTTTCACATACAACCATGTCCAAGTACTTCAGCTCCTGGACGTTTGTGTAATCTGGTGAATCCTTTATAAAATGAGTAGATTAGACTAAAACAATAAAACTATATATAAAAAGAGATTTGATTGGAGTAAAATACATCAAACTCACATGTCGTGTGAAGAAATCATCGATTTCCTCCTGTAGTTTGTGTTGACATTCTGGGTGGATGGCCAGCAGGTAGCAGGCGAAGGCTAACGTGTTGCTGCTAGTTTCGTATCCTGCCACAAGGAAGATAAAAGCCTGACCCACGATCTCATCTTCAGTCATGATTTTCTTTTGCGGACGCCTCGCAGGCGGCTCGTCTGGGCGAGGACGGTCGTCTTCTTGACCCAAAGTTGACGGTTGCGGACTCCTGTTGTCAATCTCATCAGCGTGGTTGGCTGTGTCGAAGTGCTCTAGAGAGACGCGGGTTCGAGCATCTAACATCAGCTGGAGAAAGTCTTTACGCCTCTACGAGCAAATATTAACAAACAAATTTAGCAAAAAAAAAACAAAAAAAAAAAAACAAATAGAATTTAGGATTTTATAAATCTGAACTATACCTGTTCAGGGGACTGCTCCTCTCTCTGCTTTATCATCTTTTGGGTTATGTTGATAAAAAATCCATTCATCTGGTCCCGCCTTTTATTTGGGATGAATCTTGCAAAAGGTGATGCAATCATAGGAAAAGCAACTAGAGACACAAAGACAAATAAACCTGTTGCTTAACCTAAAACGTTCACTTTAAATCATAGTTTCAGATCACCTGTAAACAACCTTAAAAGCGCAAAACAAACAAAAATAAACTTCTGATTGCAGAGTTCCCAGTTCTTGATTAAATCACGTTTGATACAAAGTTCCTCATAGAAATTTCTCATGTGCAAAGCAGAGATGTGACGTACTGAAAAGTAACAGGAGGGGCCTGAAGAGAGAAAAGGAGAAAAACATTTGAGCGTGGCGGACGAACGGGTCGTCCGGGTCSTTCTGCGAATCCACCTGAGTGCCGAAAGCCACGCTGGCAATTACATCCATGGTGAAGCAGCCAAAGCATCTACAAAGAAAAGAGGCAAGTAAAACTGATAATGAGAGAAGAGGTCAGAAATAATCATCGCTGACCGTGCTCGCTGTTTGGGCTTACTTGTGGATGTCAAAGGCCTCTGCTGACTCAGCGTGGACGCTCAGGTTGTTCATCAGTGCATCCGTGGCTGTGTTGATGAGAGGAACCATCTGCAGGAGGAGGAAGATTGACATTTTTTTGACCTTCAGAGAAACTTGTCCTTCAAATATCAATAAAGATCAGTGTAACTTTAAATTCTAGATATTAAAACAGTACAAAAATACAAATATGGTTCTAAATTACAGTAAAAGTGCCAACTTAAAACCCAATATCTGTAATCCAAAAACACTTAAATAATTGTTTTAATTTAGCTTTTTCTGTTTTAAAGGGGACCTATTATGCAAAATTCACTTTTTAAATGTTTTTTTACTCAACTTTGAGTATGTACTTCTTAAAAAAACAGCCCTAGGACCAAAAAAATGCACCCAGGGGCATTTTTACTGTAAGTAAATGTATTTTTAATGTATATTAACGACAAGTTTTACACTTCAGTCATTTTGTGATGTCACAAACCGTACGACAACCCACCGGAACCTGCGTTCAGCCC